TTTTTTTTTTTTTTTTTTTTTTTTGGTACTAGGGATCAAACTTGGGACCTTGTGTTGTGAGGCAGGCGGTGGCATCACTGAGTTAAATCCCCACCATGAAGTTTTTGTTACTATGGTTTTGTCATATAATTTGAATTTGGTAATGTTATGCATCCAGTCATTTCTTTTGCTCAGGATTGCTTTATCTTTTTGGTCTTTTGTTTTTCCATATGAATTTTAGAACTATTTTTTTCTAGTTGTGTGAAGAATGTCTTGGAATTTTGATAGGGACTACATTAAATCCTTAGACAGATTTTAGTAATAAGGCTGTTTTAACAATTTTAATTTTGCTGACCCATGAACATGGGTGGTCTTTTTGTCTTCTAGAATCTTTGTCAATTTCTCTCTCAGTGTCCTGAAATTTTCATTGTAAAGATCTTTCACCTCTTTGGTTAAGTTGATCCCTAGGTAAGGTATGGTATGGTACAGTATTTTAAGCTACTGTGAATAGAACTGCTGTCCTGATTTCTTTCTCAGCTAGTTCATTACTGAAGTATAGAAAAGCTAGAGATTTTTTAATGTGGATTTTTGTATACTCCTATGTATATTTTTATTTAATATTTTTCTATACACAAGTAGTGCTATTTTAATTGTAGCAGGCTATGGATGTGGAAAAGACAGAAAATCTATTTCTCAAATGAGACAGTTGCACCAAGTGAAGGTCAAATGATATCATAGTGCACTGTGAAAACAAAGGCTTCTCAGAAGTTTGAAGACAGAAAAGTCATGGGCTAATTGAATCATCACTGTGGAACAGGAGCATTCTTAACTCAGAATCTGAAACATATTCATGTTGAACTTGGTTTTGATAAACATCTTTTGTCATATTAAGGCCAACCTAAATATTAGTTTTATAGTTTGTAGTGAATTTGTACATTTATATTAGTTGTATAGTAGCATGTATAAAAGTTTACATTTGGTTTTATATTTGGACACAAGTTGCACTGCTAAAAATTAAAATAGTCAACACTGAGAAATCATGACAATAATTTCCCTCTAAAAAGAAACACTGTCCAAAGAAATAAGAAGGTACTGAAAATAATCACCAGGACAGCACAAAATAAAAATAGTGTGTTCAGAAGACTGCTACTATAATACTGACAGGTAAGCTGGTCTGAGGAAAAGAATAAAGAATAGAAAGAATAGTGGGCTTCTGAAATCTAGTTTTCCAAATGGAAAAAAAAATCAGTCATTATATCTTTAAATGTTTTGTCTTATTTTGGACCTCATAACTGGGATGGCGGAAGTAGCAAAAGAAGTAACGAATATACAATATTGCCAAAACAAGAAGTAACAATATTCCACTTGATAAAGTGTGAAGATGAAAGAAGAGTAAACGATGACTTCAAGGTTTTGAGTTCAAGTGTTGGGAAGAATACTGACACCTTTAAGAAGAAAACAAGTAGTGAAATCAATTTAAAAAAAAGAAAAAACAATGAATTGTTTTGAAAGTAACCACAAAATATGCTATTAGCATGTACAGGGTGAGAAACTGATAAGCCTTTAAGGAGAAAGCATATGCAGTGGCTGGTTCATTGAATAAACCCCCTTACACAGAACTGGGGACACAGAACCACATTCTGGCAGCTGGAGCTGGAGAGGTACAAATGAAGGGTGCAGACAGGTTACCGAGACGATGAAAACAGAGGACAACTGCATTGTATGTAGAGAGTGACAACCCAGTGACTACTGATTTCTTATCACCCCATGGAGACCAGTCAATAAATGAATTTTTAAATGTGCTAAAAGAAGAAAAATTAAAACTGTCAACTGGAGGGCAGGGATTTAGCTCGGCGGTTCGGTGGCCTGCCTTGCAAGCACAAGGACCCGAGTTCAATACCCGGTACCAAAAAAAAAAAAACAAAAAACAAAAAACTGTCAACTGGAAATTCCATATCAACACAAAATCTTTACAGAATGACGGTAAAATAAAGACATTTTCAGATAAAAGAAAACCAAAATAATTTGTAGTCATCAAACCTGTTCTGCAAGAGCTGGGCATGGTGTACGCCTGTAATCCCAGCACTTGGGAGGCTGAGGCAGGAGGATCGCTGTGAGTTCGAGACCAGCCTGGACTACATAGTGAGCTCCAGGTCAATCTCAACTACATAGTGAGACCCTGTCTGAAAAAAACCAAAAAAAAAAAAAAAAAACCACCTGTTCTGCAAGAACTGC